AGGCGTGTGTCATGATAACTTGCTTCGGTATCTACTAGTATAAGATCTCAAACTTATCCTCATAATATAAGTACTTTATCTCTAATAAGTTCCTTTAGTTAACTCTAATGTAATTGATCCTCTAGGAGATTATCAATTTGTTATCATCGTGAGTTTGACCGTCTAGAAACCATCAACAAAGTGTGAAACTATATGCTTATAGGTTTAATCTGGAAGTGATCAAACCTAAGCAAGATATGCTTAGACCTATCAACATCATGATTTTGATGATGAAAACTCATGAAGATGCAACATGACTTTGATGAAAACTCATGAAGATGCAACATGACTTTGATGACAACAACTGATAAAGACAAACACGTGCTAACATTGTTTTAAGTTGTCAAAGATACACAAGATAATTGATCAAGCTATCTGAATCATTAAGGTTTAATTATCATAGTGATAACCTCTGATGATGGCATCCGACTTAATTATATCTCAAGCCTCATCTACAAGATGATTCAAGTAAAGTCATTATATGGTTGGTGTATCCAACAAAACACTTGAAGCATTAAATTTTGAAAAAAGAAAGAAAGTATGAAAGCTCGCTTAATCGTGTTTGTTAGAGTGATTAATGTGTTGTACAAACATAAGGGCATTTTCATAAAGTAATATGGCTAAATCAAACACTCACAAAAACTTCTTTTGAAGCCTTTATATTTCAAACAAAACCATCCAAAATAATTTATTATCGAGTTGATTTGATTCGAGTTAAAGAAGTTTTTATCAAATCCAAATCAATAAAATGTGATTGAATTAAATAGTGAGTTGGGTGAAAATCAATCTAACCCAACACCAAAATATCTTTACTTATAATTAAATTTATACTCATTTAAAAAAATGTTTCCATGTCAATACGACAGCGTATGAATAACTTTGAGTTGTTCGAGTTCTCATTAATCTTTTGAGCAAGAAGAATCAACTTTCAAAATGCTTTAGGTTGTCCGAAAATACTTCGTAACAACCGGTAACTTAAGCCAATGTGATCAAAACATGGCCTTGTGCTTGATTCTCCGAACTGCATTGCACTATGAAGAGCTGGAAGAAAAGGGACGAAGAGGGTTCCCCCTGATATTCACACCAATATTAAAAGAGCTTTATGTATGTCTAACCTATAGGATTTAGCTGTGAATGAGCGATCATTAGGTAGTTTAAAACCTCTATTTCTAAACTGTTGAAAGGCAGGTGAAAACCCAAGACTGAGAAGGTACACTCATAGAAAGGAATGGTGCATCCACCATAATAATTGCATATTATTTTGTCTTTTTCAAGGGTCAGTACACCCCAATCCAAAGACGTACCTACGTCCATAAAGGAACTATCAAGACTACCTTCATGAGCAAAGGTAAAGATAGTTCTTGAAATTGCGAGATCAACCTAAAAAGTATAAGCATATTCTTTCGGTTTTTTATTTATGATGAGACTACTTCTTTTAGATACAGAAAAATAGTATGTTGTGAAGATACAGATGACAAAGAAGCATATGTAGTGTCTTAAGAAACTATAAAACTGACATTCCAAGAGATTGCACGGTGACTTGTCTAAAAGAGTGAGCACTAAAAATGACATGGATCACCTCAGGGAAACACTAAAGTATTTCAGTTACCAAAGATCATAATGACAAAACCTACGAAAAAGCGTATGTGAGATAGGGTGTGTTGAGTGTGAATAAGAATGTAGAAAAACAGTCTAGAGGGGGTGATTAGACCCTTGCTAAAAAATCAATCGTTTTTTCAATGAGAGTGTTAGAAATTTTTTAAAACATGCACGCAAAAGTTTTAAAGCGAAAATATGAAAATTATACTTTTATTGAAACTTGATCACGTTAACGCTTAATCAATTATCAAATACCAAAAGATTGTTATATTGATGATACACAAGGTATTTAGTTAAGTCAATTGTATATTTCATTAGATGTGATTATACAATGATTCAATTTCAATGAATTATAACCTGAATTGTTTCTCATAATTTAATCACCAATTTAGCTAGATTAGGCACCAATTCTAAAAATATCAACCTTAAGTAATAAATTGCTACCAATTAAATAAATAATAAACTACGTTTGAATTAAAATACCTAAGCATGCAAATTCTACAAAAATTAAATGCAAGAGTAAGGGAGAGAGAGATGACACCGAGATTTATAGTGCTTCAACGTTCGTCCTCACTTTACTTACGTGTACTCTTAAATGGTTTCCCACTGGAACTTGTATGGTTCCTTTTTATTTGATAAATATTTGCAAGAGTTTATACAATTACCAATCCGCAATAATGCTGAGAAAAATAAAATTTTCTACATGGATCTTGACTTGTATACAACATAATTACCAACACTTTTGTGTAATTTTTACTCGATTAACACTTCTTGAATCTTCCAATATCACCAATCTTCTCCAAGCCTTCGTGTGTAAAAATCACACCTTGATCCTACTGATTCCTTAAGTGGTAAATTGTTCGATGATTTGAGAAGAACTTCATCTTATCCGTAGCCTTCCATACAGATACTACTAAGGCAATATAAAGAGAAGAACCTCATTCTTTTTACTGAAATTTGTCAGCACCGATGATAACAACCTCAATCTTGCAAGCTACCTAAAAATCTCAACCAAATATTCAGAAAGATTTGTTTCAATACGGAGTCTCCTTCAATCAATAACCAATATCTCGTTACCAATATTTGAACTCAAACTGAAGTTGAAGATGTAAGAGTTTCATTGCAAGAGCTTTGAACTTTAAAAAACAAAGGGTGTTAGTTTATTAGAAAAGTAAAATGTTGATTATGAAAAAATTACATGAAAAAGATGACAAAATAATTGTATCGTGCTTAAGATTAAACACTAAAAATGGTTGAAAAAGTTAGTTAGAGTATAATTTCAATGGAAGCTTAAAATAGGCAACAATTATACATGTGAAGCTTAAATGAAATTGAAATTGAAAGCAATAAGACAAGCAACAAAATAACCGTATTGATGTGCTCCTCCTGAATGTATTAGGGACATGCAGTTACAAGGTGCATTAAAGGTGAAAGTTCTCAAGGGAATCAACTGTTCTATGCCGCCCAGAAGAGCTAACGACCATGTCCTAGAGAAATCAACAATTTTCCAAATTACTTGCAACGTAGGGGTATTACCTTAAGGAAAAGTGTAAGAGATCCAGGTCCACGATACATCTAACAACTCGCCGCATCTTATGCTTGAAGAATAACAGGTGGTTACAACCACTCCATTATATAAATGGAAAACACACTATTAATTTCAAATTTAAACTTCATTCACACATTCTACTCACATACTGACTTGAGCATTGAAATACTAACCTTACATGTTAGCCTCTGTCTCGCCACATTAGTTCCATTCTACCGTAGCATCTCACAACCTCCACTATTCAATCAATTCTTTTTCCTCAATAGAACAATGTTGTTAAAAGATAAGAAAGAGAGAGACTCTAAAAAAACTGAAGCATTCCTTCGTTTCTATGAAAAAGTATTATAATTTATAGCTTTTTAGACATGTCATTACTCACGAATAAGTATTACATATATATATATATATATATATATATATATATATATATATATATATATATATATATATATATATATATATATATATATATATATATATATATATATATATATATATATATATATATATATATATATATATATATATATATATATATATATATATATATATAATACTTATTTTATTTTATAGTATTTTTATTTTGATAGAAATATATAATTTTAAAAATAAAATGTTAATGAATATTTATAAAATTTGCGAAAATAAAAAATGGAGATGAGGATACAAATCCTCCATGACAAAATCATGGTCGACAGGTGGACAACGAATTCAATGGCGTAAAAAAAAAGTGTGCGTCTAGATCCCGTTCCATTAACATTTCTATTATTTTAAATGAAGTAAATTAGTTTGAATACAATATTTATAATTTTAAGATTATAAACCCGTAAATCTATCTTTTTATCAAAATAAATATTACACTTATAAAAATTAGCGTCTAACGGGCACTCGCGTGCCTGTCTGTCCGTTTTTTATTACACACATATAAATATAAATGATATATTTTTATTTAATATTAATTTTACATGAAAGTTATGTGGAAAATTATTAGTAGAGAGTTATATGAAAGATGATAGTAGTAGTTCAATTATTGAATAAGTTATATATTTTAAAATAAGAGTAAATTTGGTATAAAAAAAAGCTACACCAAAAATCAAGTATTGCCTTTATATATGTTATAGATTATATATATGTTATAGATTATAGATTATAGATTATTTGTTCCATGATAAATATCGTTTTTAATTTCCAATGCATTTTAAAATTTATTCTTTCAATTATCTTTAATTAATATATCTAATTTACAATTTATTTAGCCTTAGCATTAATAATAATTAAAATACATCAATAAATTTGATAAAATTCCAATTGAGGTGCTTGGAGTGTAACAAAAAAAAGTTTGATATAAGTTTTAATAAAATTCTAATCAATAAAATTTGATTGAATCCAATAGTGAGTTGGATGAAAGTTTCCATATCAATACGACAGCGTAAGAGGTTTCGAGTTGTCCGAGTTCTCATAAAGTCACAGTATAAGATATGATGCCTTAAGGCAAATCCACCCCCGCGTCCTGGCCCTTCCTCTCCCAGCTCTGTGTTCTACCCTTTTTTTCTTTCTTTTTTTTCCATTTTAACCATTTTTATTACTATAACATATACACCAATTTGCTTCTTTTTATCCAAAATTTTCCAGAGCTTCGAGGGTTAGGAGGTGTGGATTCACCGTTTCCCACCTGTGTTACTTCCATAACACCGCCGTTACTGTTTCTTGATCGATTTAGGGTTTCTCCTATATTCATACTTTCTTTATCAATACTGTGATTTACGTTTTAACAACCAACAATATAGCGTTACGATTTTGTCAGATTTAAGAAATGGAAAAGAAGAAAGCGACGGTGCCTCTTGTTTGTCACGGTCACTCTCGTCCAGTTGTTGATCTCTTTTACAGTCCTGTCACTCCCGATGGTTTCTTCCTTATTAGTGCAAGCAAAGGTATGGATTTGTTTTTTGGTTTCGTATTTTATGGATCTGATTTTGATATCGAAGAATACAATTGGGTTATTTTTAGGGTGTGATGTTTTTTTTGTTGTAATGTTGAAATGTGAGTTTTGTTTGTGTGAATAGATGCTAGCCCCATGCTGAGGAATGGAGAGACTGGAGATTGGATTGGAACATTTGAAGGGCACAAAGGTGCAGTTTGGAGTTGCTGTTTGGATGCTAATGCTTTGCGGGCTGCAACTGCTTCTGCTGATTTCTCTACGTAAGTAGCCATACTAGCTGCTATGTAATCTTTTTTGTTTCTTTTTCGTTATGTTCGTTTAATATTTAGTTCAGCGGGTCTTGGTTTCTATAAATTTGTTGGTTAAATGATGTATTGCTTATTCCAAATTCAGCTTAAATAGGATACATCTCATTTAGTTGACTTAACGAGGGCTGCTTTTGGCCCATCAACATGTTTGTGGTCCTATCTATGGATGGAGCACTGGACACCTCTGAAAAATGGCGTGCCGGGCACTAACACTTGTGATTACCTTTAATTTATTCATTTTTCAAATTATTACATGTGTTGTAGTGTCAATGTCGTGTTCGGGGTGTCCTTGCCTCATAGGGTCCTATGATCTGCATAAAAATATCCAACTCACACATCTGAAAAATTTACGGAACATCCATAAGTTCAATTCTTGAATTAGTAAGTTTGCCTAATACCATATGAGGATTCTACCGTCATTGGTGGTCCATGGTTCACCATATGAGGATTCTATCTTTTTGGTTCCTGTCAAATAATACTAATGGATAAGTATTAAAGTTCAAGCACTCGTGGAACCCTCCCTCCCTCAAAATTTAGCTAACAAGCAATAGCATTCCATACTACTCCATGTGGGACTTGAGTATCTCATAGTACTCAATGTCGACTTGGAGAAGTTTTTGTTGTGAGGTTTATTAGAGGTCCACAGCTGTGATTGTGGCCTGGGCATCTAGTTTTTGCCCCCATGCATCGCAACCACATGGGGTTGTATTTGATGCAATTTTCCACAATATCAAGGATAACAACACAACTGTGATGTGACTGCAACTGCAATATAAAGTTTGACCTTACATCAAAGGTTTACATTTCTACATTTAATACACTGAGATTGCATTGCTTCCTGTCAAATGAGTTCTCATATAGGATTGAGATTGTTTGGACACCTAAAACATGTAAAAGTGCATGAATTTGTGAGTTAAGAGTGCAAACTTGTCAATTTAGTATGCGAATGTAATAATTTTTAATTTAAATTCTTAAACCAAAATGCATTCCACTCATTCAGTTGATTCAAACATGAAAGTTGACTTAATAAATCAATCCTGTTTTTTTACTATGAATTCTAATCCCAAATCAGTAATTGATATCTGAATCAATTTAATTTTTTTAATCATGCATTCAGAAAATGTTTTCCACTCTTTAATGGTTTAAAATCATTTGTGTTTCTGTTATAGCTTTCATTTTTACTCTTGTCATCCTTGTGACATCTTCTATTTCACTAGCATTTTTTCCCACGGCTGCTTCACAGTACATTCTGCCATTATATACTCTTGCATTATTCTTTTGGCATCAGTCTCTTATATGCTTTGATTTCGACATTGCTACTTGCTTGATATTACACATTATAGCAAGCAAGTAATTGCAGTTTGATAAATATTGACACATCATATCCTTTGATTTTATGCAGCAAAGTTTGGGACGCGTTAACTGGAGATGAGTTACATTCTTTTGAGCATAAGCACATTGTTAGAGCATGTGCTTTTTCTGAGGTAGAATTGACACTTGTGTTACCCTGTAACTGTTCACTTTATTGATTTTTGCTTGTATTCATTTTGGTTGATAGGATAAAGTTACTGATTACAAAAACACAATGTACTTTTTTATGGTAACATCACTCTGGCTTTGCTGTTTTTTTAATACTTTTGTCTAGATTCTTCGAGTGTATGTGATATCTTTAGAAGTTCTCTTCGCAATTTTCAATTTCTTCCTCTACTATGCTTTCTCTATCAAATATTCTCAGCAAGTTTTTTATTTTGAACGATTCTAAATTCAAAATAAGCCAATTCTGGTATAGATTTAGATAATTGATAATGCATAATATATATTATGTTCAAATTTGGATACCACAATGATGCTTGTTCTTTATCCACGACTGGTTGACAAACACTTCTTTGTTCATATGAATAATGGCAGGATACTCACCTTTTGCTCACTGGAGGAGCCGAGAAAATTCTCCGAATTTATGATTTAAATCGACCTGATGCACCACCCAAAGAAGTGGATAAATCCCCTGGTTCAGTCAGGAGTGTTGCATGGCTTCACAGTGACCAGACAATTTTGAGTTCATGCACTGATATGGGAGGTGTGAGGTATAAGCTTATATAGCCATTCGATGACAGTTGTCTGTGGATATGGTTTTTTGTATATAATCGTGCTTTTTTTTTATTTTTAAACTTTGGTATTCTATATTGTACTGAATCTAATTCATATTCACAGGCTATGGGATGTAAGAACTGGTAATATAGTTCAAACACTTGACACCAAGTCACCTATGACTAGTGCTGAAGTCAGTCAGGATGGTCGTTATATTACAACAGCTGATGGTTCTACTGTCAAGTTTTGGGATGCAAATCAGTAAGTAGCAAAAAGCTTAGTTGGTAAGTTTGTTTTTTGATATTCTGCCTTTTTGGTTCACAGTATCTATCACCTGTGATTTTCAGTTATGGATTGGTGAAGAGCTATGATATGCCGTGCACTGTGGAATCAGCTTCATTGGAGCCCAAGTTTGGGAACAAGTTTGTTGCTGGGGGAGAAGACTTATGGGTTCATGTTTTTGATTTCCATACTGGCAATGAGATTGGTAAGTCATTGAACATTAAGTTGCATTTATATGTTCAACACTTAAAGTTAGGTCCTGTAGCATACATCGATTTTGACTTTCGTCCTACAAATCATTCCAGAGAGTGAGTCCCTGAAAAATAGAAAATTTTGGTTGTGTTGTTTTAGTTTCAGGTGGATAATATTGATTTGACCCTAGAGCAGGGAGTATATGTAGAGATGTATTCCAGACATACAAATGTTTTAGGACCTAAAACCAAAACAATATGGACCAAATTATACTTCCTCTGTTCGGGATTTAAACCAACAAGAAGTTATTGAAGTATATATTTTTGACTTCTGCCTGACATGTGTTAATAACGTAACTGATTTTTCAGTTTGTTTGAATTTCATGTGTGGTATTTTGATAAATCTTGTGATGTTCTATCTGGTGATGGCAGCATGCAACAAAGGTCATCATGGTCCTGTACACTGTGTCCGTTTCTCTCCTGGAGGAGAATCATATGCATCAGGATCGGAGGATGGAACCATCAGAATATGGCAAACAGGCCCATTGACTGCTGGTGAATCAGAGGGTTTATCACCAAACGGATCCCTAGAAAAGGAGAAGGCAAATGCAGAGGAGGATGTTTCACGCAGAATTGAGGGTTTTCATATTGCAGATGAGACCAAGTCCAAGGGAAAGGAAGAGGCGGGGGATGAGTTATGATACTCGTAATGATTGCACGCCTTTGTCTGCATTGTTTTACAGTTTTAGCATGTTATGTGAACCGCGGGCCTTCTGATATACATGATTAGTATACACTAAATTTTGTAAGTTTTAGCTGTATCGAATATTTAATGAATTGATGAGCTGGATAAAGGATAGTTAAGTTTTGTTTGTTTTAATTTCAGGGAGTTTGATAAGCTGCAAATAGCTTTATAGTGTTAATAGATAAGTAAGTAATGACCAATGAAACATAATATACACTTTAGGATTCGATGACTTAAATGAGATTTGATAAATTCAGGTGTCTAATGGAGCTCTATCGTTGCTTTTCCATATCCGTGTGGTGAGAGATGTAATTGATAACTGCAAGTTTGGTTTAGAACTCTATTGGGAGTGATTTTTTTTTTTTAATAAAAAATGTCCCTTCTTTCCTTATTGTTTGAAATTTGAATTAAAGGAGAACAATTGTGTGCCAATAATAAGGGGGAAATTCCTTGGGGCTTGCGGTCGTAACCTTTACCTTTCTAGCTGTTTTTACGTTTCAGTCGCTTTGCCTTCTTATCGCCAGGATATTTGTGTCTTTCCTTCCTCCTAGCTTGGCGGCCCCTCTCTTCACACCACCTGTTTTCTCCTTCATATTTTGAACTACAACAACTCATGATACTTTCTTTCAACCTGCTACATTTGTTTAGCTAGTACTTGCATTTCCATTTCTACAACTCATGACACTTTATTTCAAGCTGCTACATTTGTTGAGCATTCAAGTAGTACTTGCATTTCTATTTCTTCTGCTCTCTGACCTTGAAATAAAGGTGGTGGAAATACGTGTATTTTATTCGTCTCCGATCCACCCCTTTAATATTTAGAAAAACCCTTCCATTTGTGTCGTGCTGAGCATATGATGCCGTGATGTAGTTTGATTATGAACATCTAATGTCGATGAATATTCATGTTTGATGCTTGTCCAAGAATAAATCATATTGAAGTTTATCTCAAAGATGCTTGATAAAAGGAGTTTTGTTTTCTGAAGAGAGATTTTATTTTAGAGAAAATATCCTATTAAATTAAGAAAAAGAACAATTATGTGAATATTCCATAGATAATTTTACTTATTGATAAAAAAAGTTAATTAACAAAAAGAAGTTATAAAGAGCTAGGAAAGTTTTTTTTACAATTAGGGAGTCCCACCATATTCAATACTCTCTAGTGAAATTTTTTCTCCAATAGTGGTATCAAAGTCTGGTTCGTGTAAATGACAACTCACTTGTATCAAAATGCATGAGGTGTCCCGTTAAAGAGTGTCAACAGTGGTACAATTGTATGTGGATGAAAAGAACTTTCGCTTAAGGGGGTGCATTGTTGATAGACTCACGCTTGAGAGAGTGTTAAGTATAACAAGTGTGAATAGTATGTGTAATAGTTTCACATTGAGTAAAAATATGAAGACTTAATCCTTTATAAGTGGGAGAACCCACACCTATCACCTTAAGGTTTTGGATGGATATGTATTGTGTCTCTCACAAAGGTGCTGTTATAAAAAGGAAGTACCGCAATGTTCAATGTTCCCTAGTGAAAATCCTCTCACCCTTAAAGAGAACTTTAATTCCTTTTAAACAAAAAACCCTAAATAATAGGAAAAATAGTCAAAGATTTCAATCAACTATATTCAGCCTAACAAACTCAACTATCCCTATATTACAAATAAAATGATTGGACTTAGGCTACACTTGCCTTCCATTCATAAGTAGCCTCAGTCACCCTCTTCAATATGATGGCGGAGTGAAGCACCGCAACATCTACCAACACATGCGCACCCGTTTACACCATAGCGGGAGGGTTTGCTAAAAGTGGAGAATCCAACTCTTCTCTTCAAAAGCATGCTCGACAGACTCTAGTTGCATATGACATACTCCTCAACCTTAAACTAAAGTTCAAAGAGAGACTAGAGTTCAAATCTCATTATCATAACATTACAATATGATAATTAAGGTATAAAGCGGATGCTGGTTGACCTTGAAAGCTCAACAAATGTCATGTTTTGTAGATATGGCAATGGGGCGGGGCGGTGGCGAGTTTTAGCAGATCCAGACCCGCCCCTTCCTCGCAGACCCATACCCGCCACCGTCCTTAAACCCAATTGGGGCTAATAATTGGTCATTCACCTCGTCCTCATCGAGGAACGGGTTTCCCCGCACCCGCCTCGCCCCACCCGCATAAATTATATATTTTTTAAAATGTATTTTTTCAATAACAATAAAAATAAATAATTTAACTAAATAATTAATTATTTTAATAATAATCATAATGCTTTATCTTTTTTATTTAATTTGTATTATAAAAAAATAAATAATAATTCTAATAAATATGATATTGTAAGATTAAAAAGTGTAAATGAGTAATAAAATTATTAAAAATAAAAGATATAAATTAAATTTAATAGGTGGGTACGGGGCGGGTACTAGCATCCCCCGCCCCCGTAAATAAAAATAGAATTTTTTTCGCACCCGCCCCCAATTATATTGGATTTTTCCGTTAATTTTAAGGCAGGGGCGTTCGGGGCAAAGGCAGATTTATTTGTCATGCCTACTGTTTTGGGATGCATTCGAGAAACTCTAGCTAGATCCAGATGACATTCAGATGTTTCGAGGAACGTGTGCAGGTAAATGGCCATATAACGCTCAAAATAGTGTTTGGACTCGACGAGAGCGCGAAGACAATCAAAGTTAAATATCTCGTAGTAGACACCCATTTGCCATATAACATCATTATCGGGTGGCCCACCCTCAACTTGTTAGGGACTACTTTCTCAACCTTGCATTTGAGCATGGAATATCTACAATCCAACAGGCGGGTTGGGGTAGCTCAAGGGGATTAATGATTGGCCAAGAATGTTATCAGAACAATCTCAAAATAAAAAAAATAGAGGTCGCCGCAATCGTCATTCTTCCATTAAGTATGCAAGGGATGAATATTGTGAATTTAGATCCCAGTATAAACACAGAGAAGGAAAGGCTAACTCCCACAGAGGATCTAAAGGAGGTTGAGATTGGGCCACAAGATTTTCAAGTAACCAAGTTGGGCACTTTCATATCTGAAGCACAAAAAAAGGAGTTGGTCGCCCTACTGCAAGGGAGCACCAATTTTGTTTGCTCGGAAACTCGCCTACATGTTAGGTATAGAAGCCAAAGTAATCTGCATCATCTCGCCATTGATCCAAGGTGTAAAATCTTGAGAGAAGAAAAAGCTAATTAGCAAACTTGAAGGAAATCTTTAAGTCATTCACAAGGTTTAACATGTATTTGAACTATGCAAAATGCTCTTTTAGCATTTAGGTCAATAAGTTCCTAGGATTCATGCTAACCAGAAGGGAAATCGAGGAAGACCTTGAAAATTTCCAAGCCATCTTCAACATGAGAAACCCTTATAGTGTAAAGGAGGTTTAATAACTAACAGGGCACCTAGCCACCCTAACTCATTTTCTTTCCTGTGCAAGTGACAAAGTGTTCTACTTCTTTGCCACTTTGAGACAGAAGAAGAAGTTAGAATGGACAAGCAAGTGCGGGAGGTGTTCACAGAGCTGAAGATCTTTCTCGTGACACTTCCTATACTAATATGCCCAGAAGCAGACACACCTCTCTATTTATACCTATCAGTCATGATTAGACGATGAGCTTCGTACTCGTCCTAGAGATGGACAAAACAAAACAAGCAGTATATTTTGCGAGCAATGTATTCAAAGGTGGTGAGGCGAGGTGCCACAAAATAAAGATATTGTCCTTGGTGGTTAGTGGTCTTGATAATAGCTAGAAAACTCATGTTGTATTTTGAAGGGCATCATGCAATGGTCAAAACCAACTATCTTATTCACCATGTTTGGAAGAAGTTCAACCTCATAGGAAGAATGATGTTCTGGTCAGTTGGGCTATCAAATTACGATATCAAATACATACCTAAAGGAAGTATCAAATCACATGCGTTAGCCGACTTATTGGTAGAATTCAAATGACTAGTGAGCGAGGAGTCCTCTTACATGTGGATATTATCAGTGGATGGCTCGTCAAACATGAAAGGGAGCAACGCCATAATAGTTCTAGATAATCCAGACAACCTCCTTATAGAGCAGTCCATGAGGTTCGAGTTAAAGTCAACAACAACCAAGCCGAGTATTGATCGCGACTTTCTATGTCTAATACAACCTAACTGCAAGTGCACAGTCTATCGCGTAGTAATAATAGATATCGATCCCACAGGGACTCGTAATCAAACTAGTGTTCTCGGGAGTTACTATGTTTAGCTAGGTAGAATATGTTTAAGGGAATAAGATTGTCACTAAAAGGGAACTAAGAATACTATTTAGATTATAATTGATTGAATCGATACGTAGTAATTGTGTTCTTCAGGGATTTGATAAGTTACTGGTGTATGAAATAATTTTCAAAGTTTATTTAAGAAGAAAATGGTGATTTGAAGACTCTCGCCTCACAATGGTTATTGACGCTAATCATAATCCTAAGGGCCAAACGTACACTTTCGTATCCCGTTCGGGGTTAAAATTACTTTTTGGAAATCTCTAAGTTCTAATTCATTTTAAAGTGCTTTCGCTGTTATTAAAATGAATGACTAGTGTTTACTATCTGACCTTACCGCAACTTTTGCTTGTTGGTTCGTATCTTAATTAATTTCCCACTTTCGTGGAAAAACTACTTTTAAATAAGTTCTCGCTTTCGCGACGAAGTTTATTCAGTGAATCAATTTTAAACACTCAGACCATAAATTACTTTTTTGAAAAGAAAGTTTTTCAACCAGTTGTTATCAAATCCCATTCGAATTATTACTACATATCGATTACCTAAGTTTATCTAGACATGGATTTGGGAAAGATAAAATATAAATAAAAATAATAAATAATGATTTGCATTATAATAAAACTGGAATCGATTGAAATGAGAAACCTGTAAATATTCCAATTGGCCTTTGGGCAGATCCTCCACAGATGTTGG